ATCTGTAATGAGAGTGTCGCAATAAGTTATATAAGGTGTTTGTTCTTGTGCATTTGCGTGTAAACAGCTTAGACTGAACAAACACGGGGATACAGAGCCGGTTAAACACCCCCCCCCCTTAATTTTGTCTTCCATGACCCCTACTTTGCTGTCCCCTCTCTGCCTCCCTGCGTCAAAGGCTGCACAGAGCACAACAAAGCCGAACAGGGCAACGAGCAGCTGGTAGAAAACTGGGCATAGGTCTCACAGAGAGGAGGCGCTGTTGTGCCCTTGAGGGGGGGGGGGGGGGGCTTTGCCTGAATTCATTCATTAAACACGTGACAGTTGAAGGGGCATGCCGGCTGCAGCAGGGGGCGCCATGGCAGCCTGCTCTGCTCCCCGAGCTCCCGCTGGCATGTGATTAGTCATCGGCGAGCCTGGGAGGAGCCTCCTTAATTAATGGCGGGGAGATTCAGAAAAGGAGACGGTGAACTTGATGGTATCATTCCGTTTCGTGCGATATGGTGTTAAATGCTGTGTTAGCATAAGCAGGTGGAGTCAGTGACAGACCACCCCCCCTTGGAAAAGTGGGGGGTAGCGTGGTCTGTGACTAGGTGCAGTGCTGAGGGAGAAGAAGACTTGCAAAGACTTTCAAGTCCAACTGGAAATGACTTTCTTATGGTACACTGTTGACATTTTCACACTGTTAGTGACCCCTCCCACCCCCACAACTATGTTAGCTGTGTAGAACACCCCCGAAGGGGTACTGAGCTAAGGACCATGCGGACAGACCTGAAATGAGTAAAAATCAAACAAAGAAGCTCTGATAAGATGAAGGGCAATATGGAGCAGAGTCTACTCAAATTGGGCTCGCGACCGGGACGAGATGGGAGGCGAAGGAAGGAAGGAATATGGGCAAAACGAGGAGGAAAAATGATTAAATTGCAGCCCAGAGATGGGAATGAAACAGTGAGAGGCCTGACCTACAGACAAAGACAGAGAGACAGAGACAGACAGACAAAGACAGAGAGAATGAAACCAACAGAGAGATACAGACAGACAGACAGACAGAGTGATACAGACAGAAAGAGAGACAAAGACAGAGATGCAGACGGGGGAGACAGACAGATAGAGTAGCGCATGTATGAAATGGGGGGGAGGGGGGGTGCCAGCTGAAGAGAGCGGTGCAAACGGTACAGGATCCCATCGCGGGGCATCTTGGTGCAATGCAGACTGCATTGCCATGGAAACGGGCGGAGGAAGTGCAGCAGAAACGGAGAGGATTACCAGTGAGCCTATGGTGGAGAGAGCACTGCAGACCGAGGGTCCGACAGTGGCCGGGCAGGCGAGACAGGCCCACGCAGAGAGCCGGCTGCAACCTCCAGCCTAAATCAGCCAGGTTACCTGGGTGTGTGTGCTTCTGCGAGCATGTCTGTCTTTCAAAGTGTTTGTGCATCATATGTCTGCATTTGCATCATACGTGTGATGCTGAACTTGCCTTGGTCAAACCATGGCTGTTTGCTGAAGCCCTCAAGAACCTCTAGGAGATCCCGTGGTACCTCACCTGTGTTAGAAGAACGGCCATAAACATTAAAATAAAAGGGAATTTAAAAAAAGATATGATTTGATATGAAAGATCAACCAGGCCGTCGGGCTGGTGTGGGATCGTCTCCGCTGTCCATACAGAGGAAACAGGAGTGTGTTTATGCTGCATTGGAAAGCTGATAAAGATGTCTTTCTCCAGCTGTCATATTGGCTTAATAAAATTGTCTTCTTGGGTGGGATTCTGCCTGCATCAGTTCCCTCGCATTAAAAAGCCCATATTTCCGTAGGATTTTCTTATTTACCCCATAATGGACATTTGGAATATCGACTCACGGGTCCGAAAACATGGAAGCGCGCGCTGGGGCAAACATGCGCCACAGGCTGCGTGTGCACACGCTGCAGGTGACAGCCGTCCCCCCTCGCCGGAGCTGCTCCCCCCCTCCCCACACGGCAGAGATATTCCTGACTACAGGCTTAAAAATAGAAGCTCGCAGCCCCCTCCCACCTCTCTGTTGTGTTCCTACACCACTGTGCGCAAACACACGCGCACACACATACGCAGACGTGCTTAAGCTCTCTTGCTCCGCCTTCTCTTCATATCGTCATGGTGATCGCAGCTCAACGTAAGTCCTGGGGACGCAGATGAACGCAGTCTGGGAATACAGGCAGCGAGGGGGGCTGCCAGAAAGGTCAACAAACCCCACACCCATCGACCCAGAGTTCTACATACTTCAGACAAGGGCGAAAACCGCGAGCGAGATCCTCATGAACAGGATGGCAAAAAATATCCGGCAGTGTTTCCGTGCTGCTCTCCATGCTGAATGGGTGTAGGTTCGTCTGCAGTGCCGCGTTTCCTGGTTTTTCTTGCCTGAAAGAAAAAGGCATAAACCAATGTCATCCTTATATTAAGACATTCCCTCTGGAGACTATTTACCCGTCACTAAGCCAATACTGTGCTGGGCTGCATCCAGCTTTGCTTCCACTCTACCCTGAACTTTAAAAGGCACATCCACCGGCAGAGTGTTTGCCCACCAGCACTACTCTCCCAGAATATCTCCCAAGACGGCCGCTGTCTCATTCAGAGATTGCAGCTAATTTTAGCATCAGCTAAGCTCACAGGTTCCCCTACCTGTGGTATATATACTCTGTTTACTGTGGACTATGAGAGATGATAGTCTACAAGCTGGTGGTCCTTAAGGGCCCATTCATGAAGCAAAGGGACAGCCGGGCCACCATTTAGGCTGTATTAGTGACAGGGACAGGATGGGGAGTGGTCCCATGATCCTTTGCATCAGGCTCCCAAACATTTTGGAGGCTAGGGGAAGCTGTGTAGCTAAAATCTGAGGTGGCCACCACAGGCCAATACACGCACACAGAGACACACAGAGACAAACACACACACACAGGTTTGTAATTATGTCTTTGTGGGGACTCTCCATTCATTTCTATGGGGAAAACTCTAATCACAACATGACGACCTTAACCCCTACCCAGCAATAACCTTAACCATAAGAAACCAAACAAAATATGAGACTTTCACCATTTTTAGGTTTTGGATCGCATTCACAGATCTTTGCGGGGACCTGAAAAATGGTCTCCACAACTTCAAAATAACAGGTTTTTAATCGCATTGTGGGGGACATTACAATGTAATATAAACCTAATACACACACACACACACACACACACACACCTAAACTCCAGTCACCCCCTTGCTGGGCTGTTTAATATTTCATCAAATCGTCCCAGTGGACAGAATCTACCGCAGCTCTGGTATTTAGAAATGTGTCCTGGCTTTTTTCCTGGAACTCTGTGAGGCAAAGGATTTGTATGTGCATGGCTGTGTGTGTGTGTGTGTGCAACTGGGGTGGGGGGGGGGCGTGCGGGAAAGGTTCTGTGCAACATCAGCGATCCCCCCCGCATTTATGCCCCCTCTCCCCAGCAGAGGACTGTGGAAGCTTCATTCTGGACCCCCCCCCCTCCCCATGTAAGGGGTGTAGTGGCACAGCTCTGCTTCATACCTTTGGGCTGAATCTGTATTATGGGGCTTGCTTAGGCTGCCCATCCCTCCCCCAGCCCCTTGTCTGCAGTGTGTGGGGTGTGCTGTGACTTTACAGCCCGGTGTGCTGTGACTTTACAACCCGGTGTGCTGTGACTTTACAGCCCGGTGTGCTGTGACTTTGCAGCCCGGTGTGCTGTGACTTTGCAGCCCGGTGTGCTGTGACACGTGATTCTCACCACGCCGCGTGACCTTTCCCTGACCTTTCGGCCCCTCATGCCGCCCATTTGCCACTGACCCGCTGGAGCTCTGGAGCTTTTGAGGTCCTGTGGCCAGAGATCCTGCCGCGCAGTGGCCCCGCCCCCACCAGGCCTTTACACTCATCGCAAATAAAGCGTGAAGCTAAAAGGTGCCGTAACTTACGTCCCCGAGCATTTGTGTCTGTGCGGCCTGTGTCGGACGGCATCAGGTGACATGCTGACGCAAGGCTGTATACGCGACCCTAGTGCCCTTGCCGTGCTTTTGACAGAAGATCTATATCTGCTTCCTGCTGGAGAGGAAGTGTAGCTGTAAAAATGACTCGGCACAGTGGTGTTTCATAAGCCAATAGCTGCTTAGTGTTCCTCGGGAGTTACATACGTCGCCACCCCAAATACGCTATAACTGTGTCCTTCTCGATAGTCACTGGTCACCTGTGGCACTGAGCACTGAACCTGCAACCTCCAGGTGCCCCTGACTGCCACGCTACCGGCTGGATGGAAAGATGAGGGATACAAACCTGGGAGAGGGAGAACAGGGACATTGCTCTGGGTTAAACTGCACACTAAATCACCTCTAAGATGCATCCTTTGGCTGATTTCTGGAAATAATTCCAAGGTCTTTTTTTCCCCTTTTTTTTACTCGTGTCAGCAAAGCAATACAGCTGCAATCCGCAGCCCTTCCAAACGACCCATGCTCCCACAATGCAACGCTTCCCCAATGATCCATTCTGACAAGTCATGCTGATTCACTGGTTCTGGGAATGACAGGAAGTGAGGTCACCTCAGACAGGATTCTGGCTTCCTGTCACCAGAGAGACTAGGATGAGACCCATCTCCTTAAAACGCCTGTCTATCAATGGAAACTGCCGTTGTGTGTGTTTGTTCATGCTTTGAGGACTGATATATTGTTTGAATGTTGTTTACATGATGCGATAATTTCAGTTGTTTTTGTTGCTTTACACATTTTATTAATCTCAAATTCTTGAAGACAAAGACAATAATGTGTGCACTCCCATTGCCCATTTTTTATTGGAAACATGTAGCTATCTGTTTTCATTCCCCATACCGCTTGATTAGTGTTGGGTTATTTTGAAAAATGATCTCGGCTGTGCATGAGTTGAATGAATTTATCTGTTCATTTAGCTCATTGCGCTTTCCCTTCCCTTGCTTTCTATGTGTGTGTATATATGTATGTGTGTGGCTGCGTGCATGACCAGACGGTGGGACAAAGAAGCTCCGTAGTACGATCCGACGGAGCACGGAGACAGGCATTGCCGTGGAGATGCGGAACCGTGTCACGAGGCAGGGAAGCCGCGATTCTACGGATGGCAGCACCAACAGTAACAGTTCTGATGGAACGTGAGTGTCTATAAACAGAGAGACCAATACTCAGCACAGTACAACAGCATTGTGCACACCATGACTCAACACTATATAACAACGCCGTGAACACCAAGACTCAACACTGTATAACAGCACCGTGAACACCAAAACTCAACACTGTATAATGGCACCGTGAACACCAAAACTCAACACTGTATAACGGCACCGTGAACACGAAGACTGAACACTGTACAATGACATTCTGAACACCAAGACTCAACACTTTACTATGGCACAGTGAACACAAAGACTCAACACTAAACAGTGGCATTCTGAACACCAAGACTCAACTCTGTACAATGGCACTGTAATATGAAATGTTACTGTGAACAGCTCAAGACTCAAATGCATTATTAACACAGTAAAAGAGCGATGTCTATAGCAACTGATAGTTTAGCTTTTGCATGTACCATAAATGTCCAGATACACTGGTTCACTATGTACCATAAATGTCCAAATACACTGCTTCATTATGTACCATAAATCTCTAGATGCACTGCTTCAATACTTCATCTTTATGAGTGTGTACTGCCCTCTCTCCTCTGCACCAGGTTCATTTTCCCTACCACACGCTTAGGGGTGGAGAGTCAGTTCAGCGACTTCCTGGATGGGCTAGGCCCCGCCCAGATAGTGGGCCGGCAGACATTAGCCACACCTCCTATGGGTGAGTGTCTTCCTGGTTAGAACTGAAAATTAATCATTAAAATAGCAGCCAGCCAAAGAGTGAAATGCAGGGCGTGTGGGGATGGGTCTTTATCTTAACGTTATAGCAATACTCATGTTTTAGTTCAGCAGCGCCATCTGCTGTTTTGTTGTGGAATTACAGAACTCACTGTACACATTGGCTCACTCAAGATTCCTGGTGCATCTGGTCCATGGTCCAAGATGCTAGTGTGGTTCTTGTAAAAACAGACGGGCACTTAGTTTTATCGCATTACAGATTCTTTATACTTTTATATTATGCTTCAATGACTTTGGTCTTGTGAAGCCCTTTACAGGCCAGATGGTGCTCTTTGCAGTGACTGTCACTTACCCTCCTGTCGTCCTGTGCCGTGTAGGAGATGTTCACGTGGGAATGGTGGACAGGGGTGGCCAGCTGGAGGTAGAGGTCATCCAGGCTCGTGGATTAACCCCAAAACCAGGGTCAAAGTGCATCCCAGGTAAGACACCTTAATTTCCCACAGTGTTGATAATTGCGGGTAAAGCAGTCTGTCAGTCATCTCACAGTGCACAATTGACCAAAGCGTCTCGTCATTTGCACCAATGACATGTGGACCCCCCCCCCACACATCCCCCATCTGCTCATGCTCCAGCTTCATACGTGAAGGTGTATGTGCTGGAAAACGGCACCTGTCTGGCCAAGAAGAAAACCAAGGTGGTGAAGAAGTCCTTGGACCCGGTGTACCAGCAGGCGCTGCTCTTCGACGAGAGCCCGCAGGGCCGGGTCCTGCAGGTGGGTCCTGACTCGGGCTCGGGCTCCCATTCCCAACACACAAGTCAATAAACCGGATAGTGACCCAGTCAGCAGACTCAGAGTCAGACTGGAGGTCGTCCGTTTCCCTGTACTTGTCTTTGGTAGCTTCGGGCCTTAATCCAGAGTGGTACGTGGCTGCTGGGATCAGAAAGTTACTGGTTTAAATCCCCTGGTCAGCAGAGTCATCCCAGCACTTGGCCCTCGAGCAAGGCCCTTAACCCCCAGTTGCCCCAGGGACTGGGTGACCCTGCTCTCTGATCCTCACTTTGGAAAAACCAGCTGCTAAATAATTGAATGTCATCCTTGCTATCCTGTCTGCTGCTGTCCGTCCTTATCCACCCTGCCTATTTACCTTGCTGTGCCCTTAATCTATTCAGTTCAGTACCAATTTGATTATATAATCATATTATGGTTGCTTAGTGTAAGATGCGAGTTACCCTTCCCAGAATACTGTGCTCACAGCGCTGTTTCCCAGGTGATCGTCTGGGGTGACTATGGCCGCATGGACCACAAGTGCTTCATGGGCATGGCGCAGATCCTGCTAGATGAGCTGGACCTCTCCTCCATGGTCAGCGGCTGGTACAAGCTCTTCCCCACCTCCTCGCTGGCGGAGCCCAGCATCGCCCCGCTGCTCCGCCGCCTGTCCCAATCTTCCCTGGAAAGCGCCACCAGCCCCTCGTGTACCTAGCTGCCGGCCCGGCCGGCTGGCCCCGGGACCGATGTATCCGTGCAGACCTGAACGCACACGCACACACAGAGAAATATACACTCACATGCACACACACACAATCTGCGCATGCACACACACACACACACACACACACACACGCACTCATACACACACACGCACACAAAAACATACATACACATGCACACACACACAATCTGCGCATGCGGCGCACACACACATAGACATCCTTACGCACGTATGCACAGGAGACGCTCCTCAATGTAGACGCACATTCTTACCATCTCTCTCTCCTACTGAAAGACCTCATAGAGGGATCATTAATGCATACACCCATACACACAAACAAAGGCATGTAGGTACGATGCTGACTGTCTAAGCACACAGCTGACTCTCGTTCTCATATACTCTGGGCCATGAGAGCAGGGCATTGTGGGTAAGGGTGGAGGAGAGAGATGGTTCTGTCTTATCAGTTTGCCTGGTACTCAGGTGCAACCACATACAGACAACCCCCTCCCCCCCCACCCCCCACTGCTCCCCCCATAACCAAAGGATGACATGATACCTTCCGGAAGGCAGATCTCTCTGACGTTAAACATCCAGATCTACTGGACCGTTCCTGGATGAGAAGAGAAACACTGAACACCGAAGCAATGCCACTCCTTTTTGGAAGGCGAAATAGACAGAAGATGTAGCATCCACACCAATGTTCCAGCATTCCTCCCTCACCATCGACGCTGACTTCCTGTGCATTTTATAGTGACGTCGCTTTCAGGAGCAAAACCTCATTTCCACACTAATTTCTGACGGCCCTTCGCCTGGGTCTCTCCAATGCCTGCTGAATGTTCTCTATGCCAAACCCATTAGATAGATTTTATTTTATAAAACCAAAGCAATTACTATGGCCGTTTCATTACGCATCAGATATAGAAGTACGGATATGTAGCAGAGTCAAAGACTTCAATGAAATGCAAAAAAAAGAAGAAAAAAAAACAGCTTAACAGGAATTCATAATAATCCAAGTTGCAAACGGGCACGGCACAATCAGCCAAAGAGTGCAGTCGCCCACCACGTTCCAAAAGGCATGTAACTGCGGTTACATGAGGTAGCGCAAAAACATATAATTTGAGAGCAGTGCTTATATATATATATATAAATATATAGATAGGTATATCGGTATCCTTGTGTTCATGTTTGTATATACAGCATTCTGCACGTTTAATTGCAACCTTTATTCAAAGTGCTATTTTTAGCTTGCCTTTATAGAAAAAAGATAGATTCTACTGTATTTATTTTGCTAATGTTAAATATTATTAATCTTGTTCAAAGACCGCCTTCTGCACTGAATCAGGACCAGAGAGGATGCGAAACGGCCTTATGGTCCTGAGACTGAGAGCTCGGACATAAGACCAACGTTGGCAACATCAGTGGGAGAACAAAAAAACTGAGCAGATCTACCAGCATCCACTGCAGCTATCCGCTGCCAAAACCCTAGGCGCTGTTGGAAGCCGAGGGGGCGGGGCAGGGGGTCTCCGGCAAAGCACTCTGGGAAATGTAGTTGTGACCAAGATGAGAGCTGATAGTTCCAGGTGATGGAACATCTTACTCCTTGGACACTAAACTGCCAGGAACCTGGTTGCCCTGTCCTCTCCCCTGTGGTCACCACCAGTCTGTCTTGCTGTAAACCTTTTTCTCTCTCTCTCTCCACCCCCGGACTTGGCGGAGCTCCATCTACAAAGATCAGCAGGATAAGGCTTCCTGGTGTCCTGCATCTCATTGCCGCAACTTTCTTCCAGAGACTATATTCCTGATGGCCTGAATGGACACAGAGCCTGACCACGCCCACTTCTGTGTCACGCTCTGGGTAGATGCCATTGCTTCCCGTAAGCAAAGCAGGGCAACTACAGCTAAACACCGATAAAACGCTCCAGGGATCAGTGGCCCGCCAAACATATCAGACACTCCGTCTCTGTCCTGCGTCCTGTCCTATGTGCTGTAAACAAGTGGCTGTTTCTTCACTATGAATCAGAAAGGGAAAAAAAAGGTGTGAGTTGGGGTGTCGTGAAAAACAATACAGGGAGGCTTTTTTTCACTTTTTTTTTTTTTTTAAACCATACTTTTGCGATAGTCTGACTGAAAGTGGATTCTAAACCTGAACAGGACGGCTTAGGGGTTTCCCTCAGCCGAATGAAAACTTGAATAGTTTGAGAAATGTTAATTTGGCCCCTGCGTGGCTCGTAGGTTTTAGAAGGAGATGGCCATTTGTTCTCTGCCATTGATCCTGCGAGTGAAAATACGAATGTGCATCGGTACGAATACGAATGTCCACAGGGTTTGTTAGTCCGTTACCCCTTCTGTCTGTGGGATCCGTATGACAGGCATGTCATTACATTCTGGAGCAGAATTCCACATCACTTTGCTCTGTATGGCTTGGACCTGGACAGAGAGCTAGCAGTGCAGGGGACCCTGATCAACTGATAGGAAATTTGTCTCATGCCGTTTTGAGAAGCTTCTGAAGGCTGTGCTTACCTCTGCCCCGTTTCGTCACAGTGCTGTCCTGATGCGAATGTTTGAATTCATAATCGGTTTAGAAGAATTATCATTTTTAATACAGCATAATGGGGGCGGAATGGTGGTGCAGTGATTAGCACTGTTGCCTCACACCTCTGGGACCTGGGTTCGAGTGTCCGCCTGGGTTACATGTGTGTGGAATTTACATGTTCTCCCCATGTCATACTCCGGTTTCCCCCCACAGTCCAAAGACATGCTGAGGCTAATTGGAGATACTAAATGGCCCATAGGTGTGCATGCGTGAGTGAATAGTGTGTGTTAGTGTGCCCTGTGATGGGCTGGCCCCCTGTCCTGGGTTGTTCCCTGCCTCATGCTCATAGCTTCTGGGATAGGCTCTGGCCCCCCACGACCCAGAAGGATAAGCGGTTTGGAAAATGGATGGATACAGAATAATCATTTAAAAGAATTATCATTCCAAAACAGAAGTTAGGGTTGCAGTGTTTACATTGTAAACTGCACTGCAATGTTCTGTTTGCATGTTTATGTTTTTAGAACGGTTAATTATACCGTTTTTGCCGAGTGGAGTTCTGTTGTTGAAAGCAAGTGATGAGATAATGTTGAAAGGCACTGTTTAGAAGGTGGTGAAAGGGTTAACTAGTCACTCAGACAGTAGAAGGGAGCCAGAGAATCTTACACATGGAATTTAAGAGCACTGAAGCTAACTCCCGTTGAATATTGTGAACACCAGTGACTAGCCGCATAGAGCTTTCTTCCAGCACGCAACATTCGTCACCTCAGCATGCGCAAACTCCGCTGGCCGCTTTTGAACTCCAACGTGAAATAGTGACGGTGAACAGCAGTCGGCTCTTGCTTTATGAATTCACAGCCCAGAATCCCTCACTGCGCGCGCTCGGATTAGCTCCCTGGAATCCCAGCGCGTGAGGTGTAATGATGGAGTGTCAGAGCGGAGTGTGAACTGATGTCCTCGAGTCTGGCTGGTGTGCCGGTGTGCAGGCTGGCGCGCACAGAGAAAGCCATTCCACAGTATCTTAACTTAACATCTTTGCTACTTGTATAAAACGTTTCGTGAGTCCTGTGCTTGAGACAGCAGTATTAGAAACAGCTTGTGATACTAGTTCCCGTAAGCAGTAGTGTTTTTCCAAGTGTGCGAAATGGCATAAAACAGAAAAGAGAAAGACGGATAAATTAATTTTATAGTGAGAACCAGTTGATTCTGCTTCACCTTTCCCTGGAACGTCCCGTTGTATTGTTTTAACAGGACTGTGGCAGTGTAAAGTACCTTTTAGAGTACAGGTGTTACTGATAACGGCGTGTTCTCCACTTTCACGTTCCGGGTCGCTTGCTGTTTGCTCGAAATCTCAGTTTCTACGCAAGACTTCCTGCCCTCTAAGCCCCGCGAAGGGAAAAGCCGGTCGTCACACTAAATAAGGATCCTCAGATCACAAAAATAGCAGTGATTTGTCCTCCAGCACCCGGCCCTCTAAGGACGGGGGCAGTGTCTGCAGTTCTTAGCGCTGTAAACCAGTGGGGATTATAATACTAAAACATTTATATTCCCTGAATACTTTCAAATATAATGTGACAAATTACACACAAAAGGTTTGCAGAGTCGGAGGACTGCTCCGGATGAGTAACATCAGGCTGTCACAAGCCGTAATGGCAGTCCTGCCACGCGGGATCCCAGATGGTTCGAAATGTGAAGTGATAAGAAGAAGAAGAAAAGAAAGAAGATCTTTTTCGGCTTAATCTATTTCATTTGTCTTGATGTTGGCGCAATAGCCAACAGCAGAGCAGGGGACATAACGTGGTGATGAAGCCGTTACAACTGAATAGCGCCACGCAGGCCGGCGGTATCCTTAACGTACCCTGCGCTAAGGTGCTGAAGCCTTGTCCTGCCGCTGATGCCGCCGTCTGTCTCCCTCGAGGCTGGATGGATGGATGTTGCTTTGGCCCTAGCCCCTCCCAGTGGGCGGTCCGATTCAGGACAGACCAGAGTCCCATTGGTGGAACTGACTCCGCAGTCCCACCCCCTCAATTCGCCATAACTCCTGCCCGCCCCTGTCGCTAATCACCTTTAATATGCATTTACCTTTTTGTGGTATTGAACAAGAGAACTCTCAGGTGTTTCGCTGCCTCGATGCATTTGAAATTAGTCAGAAAATTAGCTTTTACTGTTCTATTATTTGCACAGTATTCTAAAGAAAAGCACCTTGCGAATATGTGCAAAATGGGTGGAGAGAGAGAGAAAAAAAAATGGAAATTATATATATGTATGTACTGAAAAAAACGAAACCCCTTATTCACAGTTGAATGTTTTGTCCTTGGTACAAAATGTAAAATTACTATTGGATATATTTTTTCAATGTGATTTATATGTAAGGACTTTGAGATCGTTCGTATGTGTTTCTTTGTACCGTACACGAAGTAGCCGCAGAATACTCTAGTGCAGCTTACAAAGCGGAGAAGAAATGGAAGCACTGTCACCTCTCACCAGGAGCCGTGCTCTCCTCCGTGATGGGTTCGTTCAGGAGCAAAGACTACATTTAAGGAGAAGAACTTTGTTAATTAACGCCAACAAGGGAAATCATGAAACTTTCTGCGTTCATTATATGAGACAACAAGGGGGGGAAATCATTAGAGAAAAATAAGGGTCAGCGCTGTTTGATTTTCAGTGCAGTGTAGGGTAAGGGTGTGGACAAGGGTTTGCACTGCTTGGATGAAGAAAAAATCGCACCCTAGACTGTAATCGCTGTAACTACGTGTTCTTGTGACAGTGCTGCAAGGACGCTAGTTATGTAAAACTTGCTCTGTGTTCTTGGAAGAATGGTCAACTGGATAGGCTGGCGCTTGACCAAATGTGCACCTGTCACCACGAAAAGCCAGGATGGGGCAGTTTTTATTATTAGGCTATTATTCGTTTTTTTTTTTTAACAGATCTGGGAGCTTTCATGTCAGAACAGAGCCCAGAGCAGCTCTTCTGTATCATCAATGCCTGGACCTGCCCTAATTGAAAGCGCCCACTTCATAACTGCCCCTGCATTGAACTTTCTAGCTGATAACCGTGTGCAGTGTGAAGTAAAAGCTTCAAATACACTCTCTAATTAAAAATCAAGCCAGAGGGGGGCACTGGAATAACTGGCGTTAGCATCACTATGGACTTGTGCCACACATCTTAACAACTCCAGGTTACGTTTTCACAATAACAGAAACACCTGCTGTTTATCAGTCAAGCCTGTCGTAGTGTATGTGCATGAGTGTGCAAGGGTGCCTTCGCACAGCTGGGTGACGGCAGTGTGGGAGTCTGCAGGATGACCCCTACTGTTGGGGCGCCACACGTAGGAACAGTGCACACCGCTGATATCAGAGTGGGCGGGGCCACCACTGACAGGATGACAATCACCACGGTCGAAACTGCCGTAGCCAGCATGTCATTGAATGGATCACCTGTATCTTTTACAAGAATAAGAAGAGTAAGAGTTTATTAATGAGAGAAGGGCTTCGATTTCACCTTATGTAATTTTATGGGGCCAGAGGGGAATTGTAGCTTATGATGGAATTGAATGTTAATGGTCTTAAAGAAAAATGTATAGAATGTCATTCCAACACTTAGAATGTCCACCACCCTCCCCCCAAGTCTGTCATCCCTTTTAATTCACTCTTTGAAAAATTTAATGAAATGTTTGATGTCACAATGTGTTAATATATCACATGGGTCAAAATGTTGTGATCTAATTTTATTTTATTTTTGTAAGGTAAAGGACGTAAATGATTTAAGCAGTGATGTTTCAGAGAAAATTTTACAGCAATTCCAGGCTGGAATTCCAGGCTGGGATACTGTGACCATGAGGGCTTGTGCATTTTTAATTGCCTTATTTCATTTAAAAGACCTGGTTCAACTGCTGTAGCAAAGACACATTTTGAGGTTTTAAAAAGTATTTTGCTTAAAGATTTTACTGAGGTATTTATGGTCGTAAAAGTTTATGAATGTATTTTTGAAACATTACACAAAATGTTAAGTGTAAATTTGTCGTCATGGTTGAGCTATGTTGCTTTTACTTAACACTGGTGTTATGAAGCTGGCCTCTGGGTTCACATCACAGACAGCTGTAGCAGGGATTTTGAACTTTGACCCCACCCACTGAAACACCAGCTCTAATAACGGGCCTTAGGGTTAATTTTTCCTGAGATTTGACAGAATTTACCTGCCTAGATACAAATGTGGTGTAAATCGTCAAGGAAACATTTGCAGACAATGCATATGCTACTTTAAAAGTATATTATTGATTAAATGATTCTAGGCATTAATTTCTGAGGACCCGTGAAAAAATTGCAGTAAGATTATTTGCATTATTTGTAGCATAAACACAGCCTTCCATAATATTAACTGCCAGGATTCTTATTTGGCAATAATCTTACTGCGGCGATGCATTGTTAGCTTAATGCAGAAACAGGAAGTTGCAGGTTAGCGCCGTGTCACACATTCGGTCGCATTCATTATGCAAGACGAGATGCAAATGAAAAAGATCTCTCTCAAGAAAACTTACTGATTTTTGCGACTTCAGTGCCAAAAGAGAAGTAATTGACAGGAAGACTTCATCATGTGACTGGAGAGTGTTAAGGGGCACAAACCATCTGCAGAAAGTATGATGTGTTTGCGTTTGTTATCCTTGTGTTCATCTGTATCATCCAATCAGTCCCAGTCATATTCTTTGGGGATCTGTTTTTATTGGCTGACATCACGCAGCAGAGACACTTTTGGAGAAGTATAGTTTAGTATAGGATCCAGTACAAATCGCTCCACACGTAAAATAACTATCAGTATTCGCCCCATGTGATGCCCCCCCCCACCGCAAACACCCTACCCAGAACGCTGCCACGGCAATGTGGCTGCTGCAGCCAATGGCACTAGGACGGGGGACCAGGTTAACTCATCAAGTTTTAGTTCTGACCAAGCGTACTTCCATAATCACCTCAGAAAACCCCAGCTGGTGGTTCTTATTCAATGTGCCATTAGATCCTTTTTTGACAAGAAACGGTTCAGAGGTGTAAGGAAACTTTTGGGAATTCTGTTCTGTAGCCGAAGCGTTGCTTAAGTTTGGAGTTTAGAACTTAAAAAAAAAATTATAGAAGCATAAATCAAAGGTCTTTTCTGACTGGCTCTGCCTGCATAATTGATCTCTAAATTTAAGCCGTGGAACAAACATAATGACAGACCTTGTATGTGCAACAGGAACAATTGAGGTTGGACTGGAGGCTGTACTTTTATACTTGTGCTTTGTAAATGTTTTCTATGTGCAGTATTTGATAATGTAAAACTGGTATTTTTGTGGTTTGTACGCTGCAAATTGATTACCCAAGGTGCACGTAGTTTTGTAAGAAAAGCACACAAAGTTAAAAAAAAAATAACACTTTGCTAATTTTTTTGATTCAGAAGCCTGTATCTGCATGTTCTTTGACAGCTGGAAACAAAGTCAATAAAGATTTGAAACTTCAACGTCAGCTTGTTTTTTGGAGACAAAGCCTTTCCCACATCAGAGATCAGTGCTAAAATGAATGCCAAAATGTTCTTTATTTGGATTTTACATATTGACAAGTATATTATATTATTCAAATCTGTGTTTATACATCAACATATTTTAAGGATCCCAGAGATGCAAAAGTCGTTTACATTTCAGCATCTCCAATAAATTATGCTTAAAAAAATCATGAGACCGAAAACGTACATCTGCACACGTGCACACGTACACACATACACACACACACACACACACACACACACACACACACAGAGGAGAGAAAATGTATGAAAATTAAAGCACAAAATAATAACAAAACACATACATTCATTTTCTGTGCTGATATTTTGCTAAGAAAAAACTCAAACATATCTCGATGCCTAAAGTACAGCTATATGTAACCATGGCGACCTGGACTTACATGGTGTTTACCTGCATCCCTTGGTGTGATATCCCAGAGGGGTCTGTAAGTAAGCTTCTTTGGACCCAGACTGGGGTGTGTGTGTGTGCAATGCCCTGATGGCACATTGGGGAGTCACACAGAGAAAGGCTGAACCGGGGACCTGTGACGTAGAGCTGAGGGCAATGGCCCCCCACCTCTGGGATGGTGCATCTGGGCACGTCTACGTCAAGTGCGGCGCACGAGGCGCAATAAGAACACAGCAAATTATTTACATAATTACCTTCATGCATTTCAACAGCAACAACAATGACAATAATAATTATAGTTCTAAGGAAAATGAAAAGGAAGCCGGAGGCGGAGCTTGGGGAAGGTGGGGGCGGGGCTTGGGGAAGGTGGCCTGGCTCTGTTTCTGTTACAGGAAGCCAGGGTGATGACAGAGAGCCACACGGCACAGAACATGCCTCACACAATGCCAGATAATATTAACAGAAGAACATAAGAAATTACTGCAGTCCATGGCAAGCTATATGGAATATTCTGCTAATAAAAACAAAGGAGCATTATAAATTAAAAAAAAGTTATAGCATAGCTGGTACAGGCCCTATGAGTCTGCTGAGAGCGTGTGTATATGGGAAGCTTCGTTGTACCTCCGATGTGCATGTGTGTGTACGCTCCCAAATGCTTGCATAGTTTCCACACTGCCCCCTTACCCAAACCAGATTCCTAGATAGTGGTGCATACCTTTATTGGAAAAACCTACCACAGCCACAGAGTAGCTATGTAACTAGAACGCAATCCCTCTCTTCACCACCAGAGGGCAGTCTCCATCTACTGTCACTGAACTGAAACGCCATTAAATGAAGAGGATTTTCCGTATGCTGCACCTAAATACAGAATGCCCAGGATGGAGCTAGCGGTGCTGTGGAGAGTGCTGGCTGATTAAGCTGATTAAGCAGAGTACCCTAGAGAAAGTGGCCCACCTCACTGTAGGAACCCTCTGTCTTGCCCACAGTGCGTTCACATTTCGCCTAGATATACAACATGGCTTCCTATTTGCAAAAGGAGAGGTTTACCATGCGTGTGTATGCCCACAGTGGCACACATAAAGCAAACAGGAGAGGAAGGACAGCCTCAGACAGGGGTAACACGGGGGTAACACGGGGGTAACATACTCGAAAGGTCAGGCTTTCTGCTGAAGTCAATAAGTAACAGAAAAAGCAAACCTGCAAAAATCCTGCAGACATTCAGAAAGCCAAGATCATATAGCTCTCAGAGACAGGGGGGGGGCACTGTTCTCTGTCAAATAGCTACCCCCAATGGACAATCTGCCACCCACCCAAGGGCTATCCATGCAAAACCGCTCACACACAGACTCTCTCTCTCTCTCAAACACACACACCCACATGCACACACACGCTACTGCAACTTCAGAGGGCAAACAGCTTCCTGTCACACTAAGCCGAAGGATACAGATCCCTGCGGGCAGCGGACATGAGAAGCCCATGTGACCCTCAGCCTGCCCTCCTATAGGCTCAACACGGCCAATGACGACTAACCGAATAAGCAGAGCTGACAGTGCTGGATACATTTCTAAAGACACGTTCTCTGTCCTGGCAGCGTACATTCATTATGACATCACTGTGTGGACATTCACAGAGCAGCGTCCGGCATCGATTCATGTCATCTGCCTCCTTGCCTGTGTGTGTGGGGGTGTCCACCTGCATTCAGTGGCTAATCGGAAGCGAGGGGGGGGGGGGTGTCATGTGACATTACAGTTACCCCGTCTGGCTACTGAGAAAAGCCGTCGCATATCTTTGGTTGCCCAGTTGGCTCTGTTTTTTTGGCCCCCCAGTTGTGACAAAAGGAATATAAATTTCTTTAACTTAAAATCCCTCAAACATAGGATGTCTTACAAACAGCTAAGTTAAGTTAGGACTAATTTGGGAATTTAGAAATACCATCGGTTTATAATTCAAGCAGCCGCCGTGTCTGTGGAACAAACAATTGGGACAAAAGCTGCGTGGGCACTGGCGGGGCAACAGCGAGCGGGCTATCATCCACCCGAGTTACCAGGGCGCAGGCAGAACCAAGACCTTTTAACAAAAAAAAAATTCTGAAAAGTTGAAGTAAACTGGTGAGCGACAAGGTCTTAGCTTGGCGAGTTCAGGCAGCTACCTGCAGCCTGCAGTGACCCCACACTGTCAGCACAGGCAAGGTGATCTGCTGCCTGCGAGGATAGTCTGTGAGGGGGAGTGAGACAAAGTGGGGGAAAACCTCAAAAAAAAAAAACACAAATTTTTCAGAACCACGAAATATCGGCTCGGCCGGGTCGTTGCCGGCCGGCATTGCAATGCTGAGCCAAGCGGGACCCTGATTCTCGGACCTCCGAGAGCTCGGTGACGTTTGAAGGCAAATATGGAGATCTTGAAAAACAATAGCAAGGGAGTAAAAGATAAAGGAAAAAGAAGGGGGGGGGGGGCAAATTGGTTGACTGTCCCCCCCCCCCCCCGAAGCCCAGAAGTGTACCTTCATTTATGCAACACCCTGAAAGTCCGGTCCATTGACCAGCCACCCCCAGCCCTGTTCCTTCAGACCGCCGCAATCATTTCCACACGTGTGTCCCAAGCATGTGACTCGATCCGGGCACTGCCCCTCCTCCCATGGGCTGAGAGTATCCCATCATGCCATTGGCACCGTACAAGTTCATGCCGGCCATGTGCTGGGTCATCTGCAAGAAACAGCCGCTTTACAGCACCAGCAAACGGCACTGTGCTGAAGCCTTATGCCCGCAGACATGCAGCACAGTACAGGAGTCTTAGGCAGTCAAAGAAAATGTTTCAGGCTATCTGGGCATTAAGTACACAGTCTAAGAAAAAATTAAGAGACCACAGTATCATTTTTTGTTGCAGTCACTTCTTAAATTATGGATGTGCGTCTGTGAATAATATATTTTCTTCTGCAAATTGCAGCCTGGTTCTTCCTTGTTTTGTGGGTCCTGCTTTCAGAAGGTTGATACATACTGTCCTAGCAGTGCACTTCACACCTGCACTTAATGTGTCCCATTCCTTTTGAAGGTCACTTGATGTCATCCTCCGAATCATAAGGAACTGTCAGATAAGTTAACGAACATCTCTGGCATTAGAAAGTCGCTTTTGCCCTCTACCTGGCTGGTTTCTGGTCGTTCCCAGTGTCTCCTGCGTCACCTTATTCTTGTGTACTGCTGTCTTAGAAATTTTGAACCTGGAAGCAACCTGCTGCTCAGCGTAGCCTCTGCCAGCAGAACCATGTTAATACCAGGATTAAAAAATGCTGATTTGTTTAAAAATATAGAGTGGTCTCTTAATTTTTTCCACCGCTGTATATGTCCTCAGAAAAAAAGCACAATTTAACATTAGAACATGTGGAAATTCTTCTGTTCTCCAAAAGTCACAGATATCTTGTTGGAAAGTTAGATGAACACAGCTTCAGTCCCAAACCTCATCCATTCCATGTATTCATCAAATTTCACCACCTCAGTTAATTAATTGACTCAATGAGGTCTTGATTAGCCATACGTAGTGTGTTAGTAGTTGAGTCAAAATAAGCATGGGTGTATTGGATGGTTCCTGCAGATACTGTGGTGACTTTAGGAGAGGTTCTGGAACTTTGACAGACATAATATCATAGTTTTACATAAACATGAAGGTCATATAAGCATCATTTTATCTCACTGCCTAAAACAGCATATTTTTACATCACCATGACCTGAATTTAAATATCATTTCTCTGACTGCTCAAGACTTTTGGGGACTTGTCTTATCATTCAAAATCAGTTTATATGGAAATTTTTACTGTTTTTTTTGTAGTTCTGGGACCTGGGTCAGTGACAGCATGTTCCTCTCACCTGCGTGATGTTCCACTGGAGTTGCTGGGCCGGCTGCACCCCGTACATCTGCTGGGGCAGAGAGGGCAGCCCTCCCACCATGCTGCCGGGGATGCCCATCCCGCCCCCTGGCAGCCCCGCCGCGTAGGGCGTCGCTGCCGGCATCCCGGCCGGGCACAGAAGGCCAGGCTGTGCCAGCGTGCCCACGGGCATCCCCATCATGGCTCCCATCATCCCGCCCTGGGCCATGGGCTGGTACTGCCCAAATCCGGCTGCGGCGTAACCCAAATGTGGTGGGGCCACGTACATGCCACCTACGGACACACACACACACACACACACACAAAACAGTGAACCTACTGAGGTCCCGCAAGGTAACAGGCGATTATGTTCAAGCCCTGATCCCGAAAGGCTGATATAAACCACTTCTTCAAAGGTCTGCTCCTGGCACTCGGCCAGTCCAGCATCCTTCCAAACCAATTCATCATCCCTCAGATTCGGTGCAATTCTACAGTTTTAGGCTTTAAAAGCATGAAGACTCTCCAAGAACAGATCCCACAATACAGAAAACACATGGACAGCCTACAGCAACCCCGGAGGCCAGACTTCCTCTTACATGCTCCTCCTCAGAATATCGATTATTAATAACCAGCAGATGGACATAAAAGCAGGAAGTCTGCTCACTGGCTCTTGGTTTCACATCTCTAATTTTAAGTTTATTGTTATTGGCTACTTCCAGAGAGGAGTGTTCAACGTTACCAACAGCAACACAGACTTCTGTGGTTTCACAAGAAACATGTTTTGCTCTGCAACAGGGTTACATAATCCGAGAGTACCAAAACTAATCCGACCAATTGGAGAGCCCCGAGTAGCAGCCAATGGGTGGTCAGATTCCAGGGGTGGGAAAACTCACCGTGAGGAGGCATGCTGTTGGTGTGTGGTGTGACGGTGCTGTAGAGAGACAGGATGGAGTCTTTGGACATCTTCCTAGGCACCTCCTCAGGTTTTGGGGCAGGGTCCAGGAAGAGACTGAGGTTCTCTGGAACAGAGCTGCCAACTTGGTGTTTCACAGGCATGGACACTGAAGCTGGCTGGGATGAGTCCGAAGCAGATAACAGTCAATACAGGCAAGTTGGTCTCAGATGGGATGCAGGGCATTGTCCATCTGATACATCATTCTTAGTTAGGACCCGGTTTCGAGTAGCATGCCACCTATGAGTGCTGCTCACCGGTGTTTTGGCGTGATTGGCAGAGGTGGTGGAGACAGAGCCGAACAAATCCAGTGGGTCCGTCAACTCGGGGCTGGGGCCACCGTTGGTCAGAGGGACTGGAGCATCTAGGAAACGTCATAGAAGAGGGACAGTTCTAAGCACGACGAAGGCAGCAGCAGGAGCTGTTGAGTTGCACGGTGCGTCAATAATGCACCATGCATCCTACACTACCCACCATGCGGGCCGGAATAATGCAGCATGAAAAATGCAACGCCTGCCATGTTGGTTGCACTGTAACTTTTCAGAAAGCACTTTGCAGTAGACTTTGCAGTGCGTAAACACAACAGCGATGACAGCATGCGATAGGTATGTTCACATTACCAAGGTTTAACAAGTCAGCTGTGATGTGAGCAGGCTTTGTGGGACTGGGCTTCAGCTGCTGGGAATCATCCCTTTTCTGAGAGAAATCAAGACAATCAATGTATCAGTAAAGCTTTAAGGGGTCAAATGAGGACAAGGGGTTTTAAATCTAAGAAGCAAACTTAGGATGGTAAATAAAAGCTAACCTACATTAACGCATCTAAGCATGACGATACTCGAATCACCACAAATTCACCACGAAAGCTGACATGCCAGGAAGTTTAATTCACATCCACTCACCAATTTCATCTTCTCAAACACAACTGGCGCCTCTTTGACTATGGAGTTACTAGACTTCTCCTTCTGCAAGATACCAGCAACCGGGAAATTAGTTGAGAAGTAGCATCATCATAAATTTAAAATGGAGGCATGCACTCATGGTTTGACTATTATCAGGGAGATTAGCTGCTGTACTGAAAGTGCGCAGAGCTGCGGCCTGCAGTCGTGCAACACGATGGGCTGTGGCAGGTGACAGGCTCTTCCAGACTCACCCTGAGCGCCTGGACGTCGAGGCACTTATCCACGTACTTCTTCTTATCGTACTTGTCACGGATGAAGACCTCAGCAGATCTGTGAGAACTTCATTAAGGAGAAAGTGTTCTGCTTGTTGGCCAGGCGGCCATGGAGCACAGAACATATCGGAATTAGGTGGGGGGGGGGGTGGGGGAGTAAATTTTCTGGCGTGTGATGCATGTTGAGATTCGGCTAATGCTACTGCTGACACGACATTAAACTTGCAGTCTAAAAATACAGCTGACTGATTGGTCGATATCGATATAGTGAGCAATATCGTTAGTGATATCGTTTGCCTTGCCTAAAAATCTCATTTTTTTGTTTCTAAAAACAGATATAATTCGGTCATTTATTATTTATAGGCAAATTTTTCGCGACTTTTCATTGCTTTTTTAATGATGCTCCAGGTTTGCAGCGATAGGGTAGAGAAGCCCAGCTAGTGAGTATTTGTAGTGTTGCGGAGGCCGGTCGCAGAGTTTGTGTAAAATGCTACCTGTTCCCACAGCTTCGTGGATCTGTGGTTTGCCTTGTTTGTGCTGAAGTAGGAGATCTGCTGTTACAGTACATGCAAAAATTTGCTAGAATTTGCAAGAATTTGCAATTGCATTTTTAGCAGAATACACAAGCTCCCCCCCCCCCCCCCCCCC